CGATCTTTTGTGCTGCGGCAGTTGCTAGAAGTTATCTTCGGCTTTCTGGCGCGCAAGACGGACTTCTACGGTGGTGGCAATCCCGGGCAAGCGGAAAATGTAAGTTTTTGTGCAATTACAGCATTTTAGGGTGACGTATTGTGAGAGCTTGTTGAAAGTTGTCTTCGCTTGGTAGATGGTTATGACGGCATTTCGAAAACACGAAAGGGCCGCCGCAGATGCAGCAGCCGCAAAGAAGGCAGCTCGTGAAGAGGCCGAGCGGCGACGGAGAGAGAAGGTGGCTCTGGAAAAGGCAAGGGAAAGTGTGGCTAGCGACGTTTGCAAGCCGGCCGAAATCCAGGAACTGACTGATGAAGAGGCGGCTAAGCTGGAGCAGCGCTTGAAGAATAATGACGAGCCAGGTGAAGTTGAGGACAAAGGCGAGAAGGAAGAGGACGACGAGGATGAGGCAAGCAAGGGGAAACTTAAACCCAACCGCGGCAACGGCGCCGACCTGGCCGGCTACTCCTGGGTCCAGACGCTATCCGATGTTGAGGTGAGCTTGGTAGCTTGGACATGCGTGTTGCACCCTAACTTGTGGGTAGGCCCTGGAATGTTTCTGTAGGGAGAGTGGAGTTCGAGGGCATTTGATTTCACATGCAGCCGTTTTGTTGCTTGGAGTGTTTTTCTTTTCTGTTGAGGAGACTTCGCGCAATGTACAGTGGCTCTTGATCAGCAATCGTTGTTGCGAGCAAATTTCCAATGACGAACAAAGCTGGGGTTGGTCCTCGTTCGCAATCCTCAATGGTTTGTTCACCGACCGGCTGATGGGAGTGACTGAAGGGCTTCAGAGTCAGAGCAGATTGTTTTATGCAGGGGTGGCGAGTCTGCAGCACCTGGGCAACGTGCGACTCGCTCGTCATGATTATTCTCCACTTGGGTGTTTCACGGGGAAAGGGGGGTTGGCGGAAATCTTTGAGTCTGCATTGAGCAATCTACCTTGATATTCTGTTGGTGAAGGAGTTGAGGTGACGAATTTTCTGGCTGACAATCTACGGATACCGTACCGCACTGTATTGCTCTCCGCTGAATGTAATTGTTCATGTTTCGGGTGATGATGTTCCGTCATTGTCAATAAGGAGTCCGTGTTCTTGAAATTCAATTAGGTGCGCGTGCCGCTGCCCGTGGGTGCGGTGAGGAGCGGTCGGGATTTGCTGGTGGAATTTGGGCGCAAAACGCTTCGGGCTGGAATCCGTGGAAATCTACCGCTCGTCATTGATGGTCCTCTCTTCAATGACATCAAGGTGGAGGACTGCACCTGGACGCTGGAGGATAAGAAAACGCTCATCATCAATTTAGAAAAGGTTGGTGTTTTTCTTTAGAAATCAGGAGCATTGGGCCATCAATGCTCTTTTTAAATGTTTAGGTGAATCGCATGGAATGGTGGACACGTGTCGTGACGAACGATCCGTTAGAGATTGACACCAAAAAGGTGGACCCGGAATCGTCCAAGCTGAGTGACCTGGACGGCGAGACGAGGTCGATGGTGGAGAAGATGATGTACGACCAGCGCCAGAAAGAGATGGGCCTGCCCACGTCAGAAGAGCAAAAGAAGCAGGACGTGTTGAAAAAGTGCGTCCCTTGCCCTGGTCGTCGTTATTCAGAAGGAACTTCGTCTGTTGCATTTCCTACCAATTGTTTTGTTTTTCTTTTTGCAGATTCATGTCTCAGCATCCAGAAATGGACTTTTCCAAGTGCAAGTTCTCCTGACGTGCTTATAAGCGACACGACGTGTACTCAAGAACCGTAAGAGGACCGAGGAAAAGCTGGAGTTGAGCAAAACAGTAACGCACACGCGCACAAAGAAAGCAAACGGAACGTCGTGGGTGCGGTAAGGCGTAATTTTGTAAGGGTGATGATGAGAAAGAAAATAAAGACAAAATCGAAGAGTTTATGGGATCCACTGCTGTCATTGCTGCTGTGATGCATGCCTGCTATACTTCACATGACTCAGTTTTGATTCTCTGTAAAGTTTTCATTTATACCACGAGGCAAAGCTAGCTATGTCATCGACAATCGAGGCACGAATTTCGAGGCTGCCCGTTTCAGCACCAGCATTCTTCTTTTATTTGATGGAGCTCTCTGTATAAGTTACTCGGCATCACTGTTCCTCCCTCAGAAATTTATCTCTTCGAAATAATGATATTGGAAGAGGAAGTCATTTTCTGCGAATGTAGCGCATTATAGTTGAAAAATTATAGAATCAGAAAAAAGCTGCTGCTTTTGTGTCGTGCTAACTTTAGGAGGTATTTCTCTTCGCTCACTATACGAACAGTCCAGGCCAATGTGAAGAATCTTGAGAAACAGTACTACTGTACACAAGAAAACCATTGGTTACTTTTTTTATTGCGTCCTGTACACTAAATAGGCATTATTCCATAATTCTCCTTTATGTCATAGGAGTAAAGAAATTTCGTGGTTCCAAGACTTTTACAGTTCTATTGGTCATCACCTGCTTCAAACAGTCGTCATGGAAAAGCAATTACTCACATTCTGGATCTGTGAGTCATCTTCGATTCCTTTCCACCATGACAGTAAGGGTCATTTTTTTTCAAAAACAAGGTTGGATTTAGTCTAAAAAAATGTTCTGAAGGTCTTTAATGAGGGAAGGGCAGCAAATTTCGAACGCATCGTTTCGAGCCTGCAACGTCTGTCTCTTCCCTTATGAAAGGGTGGTAACAAAAGTTTTGTGTCGGACTCCTCTCTCCATATAGACAGTCTTTCATCATTATATTGTAGCCAGATATGCAGCTATAAGAGTACTGTACTGTACAGTATGGTATGCAGAATATTGTAAAAAGATAATGGTAGAAATAGTCCACCTCTATGTATCACCGTATTGGAATATGTTTAACAGTGTCCCCATCAATGCTGCGACCCGAATCAGGTACTTGTATGCAGTACTGGAATAGTCTGGATGATTATTATATACCCCTTTTCCAATCGTCATATATCTCCAACAGGGAAAGAATCAAATAAAAAAAGAGACAGTCGAAAACAGGATTTTTCTCCATAACGCCAGCTTCGTTTTGCTCTCCATCTCTTTCCTCTTTTTTTCGGACTTCAAACCCTGAGTCGGGAAGGCAGACTGTGACATCGAACGCTTAGATCAAAGCGGTTAGCGTGCTTACGCGAGTCAAGTATTGCCTCTGGAATTTCACTGTGCACTACTTCCGACTCCGTGGTTGGAGCGTGGCGTGATGTATGCTTCAGTAAGATTACTGTATTGAATCGCAGCGAAACAACGTGTGTCGGAATTTTTTGCGAACAACCTCCTCTTGATTATCTTTTAATTCAAGAGGGTCGACTGTGATACACCATGATTCGGAAGTTCCAGCGGAGACGATCGCGTGACATTAGGCACGAACCTTCCAACACTCGCGTTCTTATAGTCTTGAAAGCTGTACATGCGGGGGAACAAAGGAACGGACATGTACGAAATGGATATCGAAGTTCACGATTAACTGCGGAAGTGTGGCCCCTAAGTACTGTAAAATACTGTATTCTAAAGTACAGTACAGTACTGTAGTTCGTTTTCTTGTGCAAATTGCTAAATTGAAAATCCAGAGCTATTGTAGTTGTCTCCAAGTAGGATAGTTCCGAATATCCTCCGAAGTTGATTGTTTGCTACAGTAGTTTTATGTCCTAGGATTAATTAATTTGCGTTCGTTAATTACATGTGGCTTGTTTCCATGCGGAAAAGATGCTTATGACGTTTTTCTTGCAGTTCGGGTATTTTCAAGGAGCGATCTGGGATAAGTGCTGTACTATATGTGATACAATTGTGAAGTGATTTTGCTGGCGTTGTGTCTTCCGCTATGGATTTGTCAAACCTCACGATCGCCGAGCTTTTTGCGGGTAGCGTTAAACAATTGAGAAATCAGTACTGCGGACAACAGATCCAAGATCCGTCTGTGATGTACTACTCCAATGTGACTTCTGCTTCCGATAGGTTTGTATGCTGTCCTATCTGTATGCTCTAATTTTGTTGTGGTCCGGTCAAAAAGGAGATAAAAATGTTTTCACAGATATCATGGAATGAACCTTAATCGGAGACAAGGGGCGAATGAGGAGGATTACCCGCTGTTCGAATCTTCGACGCAGGTTGTGAAGTATTTGTTCGACATATCCGATGATCGCATTTTGAATGAGGTGATTTTTCTTCGTCTGCAAGTCATACCTTATTTACGCGACAAAAGACTGCAATGTAAATTTTTTTAGCCCTTTAGAACTTCGAATGACAAAATTTAGTTTTTGAAAGATTCCTTAATTGGAGGGAAGAATGAGGTGAAACACGCATCAAACCGTATTTGATATTGGCGTGTGAAATTATTAACGGTCATTTCAATTTTAATTTTGAAAGACATGGACTTGGTCATGAAAGCGTGTTATTCTGAAATCTTGAAAAATTAGGGAATGCTATACCGTAAACGTACGAGAAATCTGGGGAAAACTCTCGGGGGCGCTTTTTCTGTAGGAAGGCTTATTTACTGTATACCGAATTGTCCCTGACGGTCTTTTTCTGTCGACATGATGTTGAGCTCAGTCCACTCCCCAAAGCGAAGGCCTGTTAAAGATTTTCAGTATAGGTCGTCTCAGTTTTATTCAGCGAGACTTTGTGCGGTCTGTAATCGCGTACATTTTTCGATTTCCGAGGCCTCCTCGTTCCATCATAATCGGTTTCTTTCTACTCCATCTAAAGGAAAGTCGAGAATCGTCGTCGAGTGGCTGTGAGGCTGACAGTAATTCCGACCTCGGCGCTTCCCCTCAGACTTCTTTCTTGATCGGATCTCCGGAGAAAGTACCGAAGCGTGGCGAAATTTTCAAGATGTCGGACATGGTAATGATTCTATTCTTAAACTGTGAATTTCTTCGAAACGTATTTTTTTCTCTTCTGCAGTCCTTCAGCAACGATGCACCGGAATTCAGCGCTAGCTCGTATCGATTCGGTGCAGGATCGGCAAGTCCGTTGGACGCGGGTAATCGGCCGCATCCGGATGAAAGCATTGCGAACGATTCTGGATTTTTCCTTAATTCCACTTTCATGGATGCTGTTGTTGGACAAAACCCCGGGAATTTCACGGAATTCGTTCGCAATGACAAAATTCGCGAAGGAACCTATCAAACTTCAGGACAAGAGTACGGAAAGGTAGGCGTGTTCACGTCAAACATTATTATGCGTTTTCTGTACTTGTCTAGTGGCATGTATCACATGGATTATAAACATGTGGTTCTCATTTCACTATGAGTCTCTCTTGACAAGCTGTAAACAACGTCTTATAAGGGTAGAAAAATGGTTCTGTAGATATCGTGGGAAAATTCCTAATAATTCTACAAATTAAAGCAAAAGCTAACTGCAAGTATAATTGTGAACGCACGAAGAAGAAAACCTTAAAATGAGGGGAGTGGACTTATTTGAAGATGCGGAGAAAGAAAAAGACGTTGAGTTGAATTTGAAGTTATGAGCTCTGATGTAACTTTGGATCCAGCCTAAGTGCTATGTCTTTCATTACACTCAAAGAAATACGCGAAACTTGGTACCCATGATTTAGTGTTGAGTCTATGTCATGTCTTGAAATGACCGAAATCCGAAAGAAAAATTGAAAAGCCGAGACGTGGGTGGCATGTATGCTTGGCATGTTCGCTGTATCTCGAAGACATACTGTTGATTGTAGAAGACACACTAGTCTGGCAATTTAATTCTAAGGTATTTTTGTCAATGCTATGTTTTCAAGTTGCCTTTGCTTCCAAGTCCGTCCGAATACTCTCGTTTCGATCAAACGAAGTCTGCACCGAGTAAGAAGCCTCCAAATCTGGTCCTCAATAATCTTCAGCCAAACATGGGAAGTGCCGGATACTTCCCGTATCCTTATTCGAACGTCGCTGGAGCGATTAAATCTCCGAATCCAAGGGTGTGTTTCCTGGAGTCAAATATCATATTTCACAGGGAATGATTTAATTCTGGTTATTCAGGAAGGTCTTCTGGGTGAATCGCCGTTTCATTACGTTTTGCCTGGCATGGTTCCGCCTGGCTACGTTCCTTCCCCGATGGGCTTTGGGATTGTCGCCCCGGGGTGTCCAAATGCCAGTCGGATGTCATCGCAGCCATTCTTCCAGTTTCCTCCAAATGCTGATTACGGGCAGACCCCGCCAGTTGTTCCTATGGGACAGAATGGAATGCTGGGGAGTCATGTATGTTTGAAATTTCTAATGCATGCTTTCGTGATGGTAAACTTTATTAATTTTTGTGTAACCCATTAGCTGTTACTAGGTAAGCATGTTCTTGCACTCATGGAAAATGTACGCGAAGAAGTCAGACGTAGAGGGTAGTGTTCGTAAAATAGCGGTCGTCAAGCTTTTCGCTTTATCTTCCTTCTGTCTTCGATATACTGTATCTCTAAATTATACCGTTTTTCGTTTCACTATTTCAAGGTAGAATTTCATCACTTAATAATCACCTGGCTAGAAAATTGGAATTATATGTCATAGCTTTTCGTAATGTGGTGCTTCTGGAGGCAAATTGTGTAGTTCCATTTGCTGAGTTTTTGCATGTAGTTCCCTGAAGTATCAAAACACAGGTGATGAAAATTCAGCTCCACTGAACCGGGTTTGTTCAAAGTGATGGTCAACTTACCATATTATATCGAAGAATCGCAATCCCCGTTCATTTTGCTGCATGGATAAAAAAATTGGTCAACGAGGTAGAGTCACGAAGGGCCGATCATCAGTTCATTTCATCCCTTTAATTTTAAATGCGTAACTTTTTGAAAGATTTCGCTCTTCGTATGCAAATTGGACAACATTTTTGATGAGATGTTCCTAATTTCGCTCGTGAAACGAAATCCCCCGAACTGTGACCCTTGAATCAGAAAGAATTCGATCTGATACCCTCACATCCCGCGATAAAAGCGTGTTTCTTGAATTGATTGCAGAATTATTGGCTCTATTCACAGTAACTTCCTGTGTCCATGGCATGATTTGCTTGGCTTCTGCGAAAACTTCGGTGGAATTCAACATGATCGAAGATAGTTTCTTAAGATGAGCCAAACTTGTCCTGTTGTAACATAACCTAACAAATTCAGTTCTCTTGGTTGATTTACCGCCCGAAACCGGTTTACAGAGATATTATTGCGATGTTGTTCCGGCCATTAAATTGTTTTCCTGAGCTTGAAGGAATGAGTCGTTCAAATTGACGCCAGTTTTTCGGTTCTTCATCGTTGAAGCTTCATCTATTTACCGTCGCTTACCGAGGGTGCGAAGTTCAGGTTTAAGTACCTGGTGGAGATCAGTTAAGCTTGGAAATGCGCATTAGGTCAGGTTGAATTGAGGTTTGGTTATTTATGTGGTTTTTTAAATTTTTATATCAGTTATGTCTTATGTGTTAGGTTATTATGCTTCAGTATTATTTTCTGCGGCCCAGATTGTTCGCTGTTATATAACTTAGATTCTGTCATCTACTTTGGTCAAGCTTTTTTTTTTTGCTTAGCCAGATTTTTAAAAATATTTGACGATGGTCAAGGCTGAACAGTAGGAGATATTCTTTCCCTTTGCTAAAGAATTTATGGGGTTCTCTCTCTGAGTGAATCTATCGTGTCGTTATTGCAGTTTTTTTCATTCCTGCTGTTTTGCGAGTATTTACAATACTTCGCGTTGATTTTTTCGGTCAATCTGTATCTCTTTTGCAGTGGCAAAATCAGAATTCAGCTCAAAGGAAGCAACCTCCCGCGAAATTTGCTCCGGTTGTCCCCATGGATCGTGCATCCGCTGCGGAGGTTCCTCTACCTTGTCAAGGCACTTTTCCATACTGCAATCAGCTTGATGGTTACGGCGATCCGAGGAAACGTCAGAAAATAACTGCAATCCGCCACATTCGGTATGTTTAATTTTCAGTTTCAGTTAAACCATCCAGGTGTCGCTGAACCCTGTACAGTACTGTATTCGATCAATCGTATCGATTGCACTAAAGGGTAGAAATCGACCTAATTACTTCTATCCGAGCCTCTTTGATTTTTGTCCGAACGACCGATCATCATTTTGTTAGGAAATCATTATTCAAGCTAGGTTCTTGAAGCAATCCTTGGAATGTTTTCATCATACTGCAAGAATGAAATGATGAGACAGTGTTGCACTGTGTGTGATTATGCTAGAACATTTCTCTCGAGTAGTTCTTGTTTAATCGTGATTATTCGAAGCTCTTTTCTGCCATGAAACGTTTTGTTGGCCTTCCAGAAATTGTCTGAGAGCCGATCAGTTGGAAACCGTAGTGGAGACAGCTGATTACTTGCTGAAAGCATTGGAGAACCAGAGGAAAAATGTGGAAGCTGAGCTCGCCATGCGATTTCCCGGCCGACGCATTTGCACGGTCCCGACGGTGAATCCGATGCAATATTGCGCACCCGGGGGAAATTACACGCCTTTGGATAAGTTGATCCTTGCGTGTTCGATCGAACACACGAAGGTTATGACTATCATCGGGAAAATCGAAGGCTTTCTTGGACACCCGGTGCACCCAGATGTTCGCGAAGACGTGGCGCGGTTCAAAGCTGCTTTTCTGCGAATGCAAAATGCGAGGAAGGAGGAAATTGCTAGGGTTACTGAGTTGCATGAACAGGGAATTGCTCACTCTCAAGAAGGTCTTGCGGCGGAATACATGGGTAAGTGTTTTCAGCCTGGTAACAGAAAAAATATCTCGAAAAAAATCATGAAAAATTGATAAATAACCCTCAAACTTTCCCCGGGAAAAGAAAGTGTTGAAAATGTTTAGATCTAAATTTTATTCAGCATATAGTAGAAGTACTAGGGCAGGTTTTTAGACAGTTCACAAATGTTTGCCTTTTCTTTTCATCGGTGCTCGAGCCAATAGAATATACCTTGTTCTAGAAATGTATATATTTTTGATTCAATGAATCCTCCCCGTTTTTTATCCTACTAATGAAACCCACAACCTTTTGAACACATGATACGTCGCCTTCGACGGAAGTCCATAGATGCGTTAATTTTTGCGTCTTTACGAAATTATTTTTTTATTTACACAATATTTTCCGGCTAAGAATTCAATATTTTAGGAGAAAACCTAAAGTTATGTTGAGCAGAAGCTGTTGCATTTTTTTTTTATCCAGGTATAGAATTTGTTTTTCTTTGACCCAATTCTTATCTTACCAAAATATTGCCCCCAATAATTTGTGTACAGGAACTTGGTTGATACCTTTTGTGATTTGAAAAGGATAGATGCAGTCAGTACACCGTAAGTTTCTTTTGGAATGAAATATGAATTCTAGTCTGGAGTGAATCATGCGCTTATGCTGGTTGGAACTCCGCTTAAACTTTCAGCGTATTTATTCGAGTGCCACCCGCACCGTTTTTCTCAAAATGGAAAGGAAAAAAGAGCTTGCGCGTCACAGGTGGGTATTGAGGTTTAAAGCAATTCTGGAAGTTTAAGGGCGAGTCAGAATTTATTCTGATGGGAAATTTCGAACCAATTTTAACGGAACTATTTTATAATGGAAACAATTGAAAATTAATTCTAATTCAGGTTCATTTCATGCCAAAATTCTGGTGTTCATTATTTTTGAAAGATTGCAATTTTCCAGTCACTAAAAATGGGGTGTGTGTGTTACTTGGGGATAGGATTTCATCAAAATGTCAAGTTGAAAATCCGGGTACGTGTTTTACTGGAGGGTGTGTTGTACTTGAGTTAATATGGTTTCTGATCACTCCTCGGACGCTTCAGTAATATTCATAAAATGAAAACGGGCTCTTTTTCAGCGTTTGAGTCAGTTTTGTTGACGGTGAAGGAGTTCCATGGTCGCGCAAGAGCCGCCAGAAGTGCTGTGTATTCGACTCTTTTGACAATGAAGTTGGACGACTCTGACCCTGCACTGAAGGACGCAATTTTTGTTCCGACGAAGATGTGGGTTGAACTCATCGAACACTCCCGAACTCTTTTTTCTGAAGGATCTGCGAAGCAACAGAAGGAATTCGAATGCCCAGAGGACGAGGAAATTCAGAAGATCGATGTTTTGATTGACTGAGGAGAGCCACGTGACATTTGATGGCCGAACTTCTTGACTGAGCTCGTCGCAATTTGCGTGACAATTTTTTTCTCTTTGTTTCTTTTTCTTTTTGCTATGATGGAGATCTTTGAGTTGACTTGAAGCATATCTTCATATTTTCCATTGAGGTGAGGATCAGTTGGACGCGTCTGATTTTGACTCTTGATCTGATTTTGCGTTTAAGCCAGTTGAAGTACCTCTGTTACAAAGAATTTGATGCGTTGGAATAATTCCGAGCTTTGGGATTCATTGCGGTAATTTTTTAAAATTCCTGAGCTTAGCTTTGTGATAGCTGATTTTCATACAACAAGCCATGACGGGTAAACGAGAACCTGGAGTTGTGAAAATGACAAATCTCGGCGTGCTGTTCTCATTTGGAGCTTTTTATTTTATATCCCAGTGGCATTTTGCTTGGGTATTGCGCACATCAGCTGTTTTAAAGCGCCCGAGCGACGAAGTGATTCTTTTTTTTTGAATTCGCACATGTATAGCTCAGTCAGTAACGTTCCCTTGAATTGTATATCATCGGGAGAAAAACCATCGAAATTCTGGTTGCCAAGCCTGTGCACGTTTTTCGTGTTGTAAAAAATGTGTTAGCTCGAATTTTTCCACCTGTTTCCGGAGATGTGACGATTTCAGAACTGTCCGGTTCATTCCAACGAGTATTTTTCGCGTTGTGATGAGTTCTGTATGGCTTGACTAATTTTTGTCAAAGTTCGGCGTCTGAGTGTGTTTGAAAACGCGTTGCCTGAATTTTAAATTGTGCGTTCTGATTGAAGTCGGACAATTTTGCTTTCAGTCTCGTGACGATTGGAATATTTTTTTGAATACGATGAGTGCCTTGATTTTGACCGATGGACTTTATTTTTTCCGTGATTGCTTCAGCTGATCGGTTTTCCTTTTTTTTCACCCCGTGATGACACGGCGAAATATGATCTTGATTTTGGACTGAGAAAGAAAGAAAAAAGTATTGCCAGGCTAGGTTTCTTTTTCTTTTATTCAATTTAGGGTTGCTTCTATGTTCGTTGTGAATGAGGAACTGTGTTTTTATTGCAGGATGTTGAGGAGTGTGTCGGAATTCATGCGCGATGCCGCCTTGACCGTCAAATCGGTGAGGATTTCCGTGATGTTTCGGGTTGAACAGGATTAATTCTCGAACCACTCATTTTAGGGTTCATGGATAAAGCAAAAACAATTTCGCTTCGTTGTCGGGAACGAAGCGTGTGATTTGGATTCAGCCGTTTGTGCGGTTGCGAGAGGACTTTTATTGGCTGACGTGCTTGAAGGCAGCTCTGTGGAAAAACGTGTCTGCGCTGCTCCGGTTCTTAATATTCCGAGGAGCGAATTATGCTTGAAAACTGAAGTTGTTTTCTGGTTTCAAGACAATGGGATCGAGCCAGACTCCTTCATTTGTTGGTAAGTTCTCCTGATGATGCAGCAGTTCCACCTTTCGAAAATGATATCTTCGTGTATTTTAAACTTGATCTCATGCGCTGTCAACACCGTCACACCAGGGTTAATATGAGGAGTTGGACTGTGTCGCGTCATTCTTGTAGTGCAAAGTGGCTTGTGTTTCATTTCAGTTCGAATTTCTGACGTAGAACTGTTCTGTGTAGGAAATAACTAATTTCTAGTCCCATGTGGTTACTTTTTGGTTGATACATAATTTTACTATACTGTACAGTAAGATTGTCGGATAGGTCGATCGAGGAATTAAAGATTGAGTCGATCGGTGAACCTTGGTTTGGATAATATATTCTCTCGGACGGGTACAAGGTGGTAGGACTTTTCTTTTGTTCACAACACAGACACAGAATAACCTTCTACACCAAACAACGTCACTAGTCTTGTCTCACTCAGACGAACCACGAAAGACAGGGGACACCACACAAAACCGGAACACACTCAGTCACGACAAAGGGTAATTAACCAAGGCAATCCAAGGAAGGCTTTGTACTGCTCCTTGTCCTTGTGTCGCCCTTCTGATTGTGGGGAGAGATAGTGGGAATGACTTTCGCGGATCTAACGGTGTTTTTCGATGTTTAATCAATGGTTAGGATCTCTCACTGTACAGTATGATATTATCAGGTGTCGCCTGAATCGTCCACGCTGGAAATACAGTACGATATTGTAGTCTAATGTGACGAAAGCTTATTTCTCTAACCAAACTGAATCTTGCTGATTTGTTATGG